AGCGCGTCGCGACGAACCAGTGAATCCAGCTTTACTGTCAGATTTTTTAAAAGGCAAATGGAGACAATTGATTTTTTGTGGAAGTTTGTTATTATTTTGGTTATAATTTCCACAATTGTTAAATCTTGCCTTTCAGCAATATATGCAAGGTACTCTTTTCAAAAACAGCAACTTAATGCTTGATTATTAAGCTAATGTCTTTATGTCTAACAAATCCCAATGCTAAGAGAGAAACTTGAAAGCATGACCTTATTTTATATGGGTTTTTTAAAATCGAAGTATCTATTTTTTGGGAAGAAATATTAAAATAAATTCACACTTACTATAAAGCAGGTAAAATTTCGAAAATATATTTAAAAAATCAATTAAATATATTAATATTTTCATTCATAATTATTTTAAAATTCTAATAAAATACACACAAAAAAGCGGAAAAACAAGAAGAACAACCTTCGCCTTCAACATTTTATATGTTACTGAAAGCATTACATTATTTTTAAGTTAACAGCTTTTTTTTCTAATAGGGTAAGTTAACTCAAGATATGGGAAGTAATTGCAGGGTCAAGTTGAAAATATATTTATTTGAGAAAATTTATTTTTATTTGAGAAAATTTTTAAAACTTAATATATTACCTAAGTAAAAAAATATTTGAAAGGTTTTGAGGACCGGAAAGGAAAGGAAAGGACCGGATTCGAATATCTTTTTTATTTTTAAAATAAAAAGTATCTTAGCAAATGACTCAACTCCGATTGTAAAATGACAGGTAATAGGTACTGATGTGAATTTTTGTCCGGTTGCGTTTTCTATTAAGATTCATAAACAGGCAAGGCCATTTTATAAATAGATTGCTGTTGTTTACCTGTTAATAAAATATGAAAGTAGGACATGTTTGAAATAGTTTTAAAATAATTATTTAAAAAAAATTGATTGGAAGTAGGTACATACATATTTATTCTTAATAAATTAAAAACTAACTGAAATTATTTGAAACAATTCTATAAGTAACATATAAATAACCGAAATGAGATAATTCAAATTGTTGAATTATGTCAACCTATATTACTTTTATTAACATTTTTGTTAGCCGACACTACTCAACTTGCCTTATTGGGAAATGCAAAATGTGCATATTCCAGTTGCCATTCTGATGCGAGATATGTCGTAGTGAAACGATGTTTTTTGTCGAAAACTATTTAACAAGTGACAAGCAAGAAGGATACACCAAAAATGCAAGTTAAAACAAAACAATTTAACAAAATCATAAAAAAATTAATTTTATACATAAATTAAGTCATAAAACATATAATTCAATTTATTGTTTTTAGCGTGAAAGTATTTATAAATTTGATGAATTGGAAATTTCATGACAGAGAGCGCCCTTTACGGGTACTCGTTTTTCCCTCGAAAATATTCAGTAAATATACAAAGGCCTCCTTTGGAAGTTTGTAATAGTTTATAAATCTGTGAATCAAATAAAATGTTTGCAACTAATTTACTTGAAAAAATTATTGTAATGGCAATTTCATCACTACCGGAATGAAATGAATCCGTAAACCATAATGCAAATGACATTTTTTATTATTTAAAAATATAAATATATACACTGAACATTTTTTTTAGTTTGAACTTTACTCGCCAAAATTTCTTTTTAAAATGTATGAATTTCACTTGAAACGTTTCATTTTCGATTATTTCTCGCACTCATATCACTCGACAACCTGAATACCACATTTCAAATGATGTGACAGCGACAACGACAAATGTCACGTAAGTGACGCGACAACTAGAATAAGGCTCACTATGTTGTGTTAACATCTATTGTGATAAACACTATCAGCGACTATAGCTATAAATCGATCAACATCAACCTGGCTTCATAAGATAGATCAGACCAGCCCAAACCTCTCAAAGCAAAACGCAGAATTTTTTCTTGGACAGATTCAACACGAAAAATATCCACCATAGAAAATGTCTCCCAATGCCCGACACATACAAATGCTTTGCAACATACGGATCAACAAACTTCTTAGGCCACCTCATTACAAAGCCCAACTTCGAATTAGCCGTACCAAGAATTATGTTCAAATGAGCCCCAAAATCCAACCCGACAGCAATCATAACCCCAAGATCACAAAAAGCACTCACCCTATCCGGTAACACCCCGTTAAGATTGCCTTAATAATGTCGCACAACAGAAGACTCCCTCCCAATCGAAAAACTCAAGACTCGACATTTACTAATCACCCTCCAAAATTATCTAAATCCTTGTCTAACGATAAAAAATCAACCATTATAATGATGCGTATGAGACGAAAACATATCATACGAACTTATTAACATGAAGTGTACATCTTTCAAAATTTTAAAAAATATGCAAGAACAAATTCCGTATTCAAAAAGTATTTCTCTAATTTTTTTTTTGTAATGTTGCCTTCATTGAAAGCTTTAAAAATGTATAGAGATTGGAAGGTTTATTTCAAACATTTTTTTAAGAAAAGATTGAATTTCAACTTTTTCTTACCAAAAATTTGGGAGATTTGTCATATCCGGCACTGCATTCTGTTGTGAAGCGAAGTGATCACAAAACGTATAATTTTTTTCAATTGATACTTAAAAATTCAATTGTTGCGTGTGATAATTCGGCGAACGTGGAAATCATGTTTCAATTTTTGATTTCTGCTACAGTTTTATACATATAAAATAAAAAAATAAATGTCAGATAACCCATTTATTTCATTACCTCAAGTTTAGCTTTAAAATAGATTGAGAAAATAACTATGTTTGGCAATGTCAAAGTATATGTTAAGATTAATACTACTAAAAGTTAAATTATTTTTATGGATGGAAAGAAAGTCGTAATTAACTTTCATTTCTGAACTATTTTAAAACTATTTAGTTTTATAGTTAAAACTATTTAGTTTGTTTGCAGTAGTTTCAGACTGTTAAGTAAAATCTTGACATTACAAAAAATCTGTCAGTTATTTCTGTCAGCCGTGAGTGATATTCAAAAAAACATAAGTTTAAAAATTTTGACAAAAAAAAAATACGAGTATACATATTATCTATGGCACTAAAAACAAATGGGTTAGGACCATTAACTGAATTTATACAAATTCCACTATTAATTCACCAAAGTTTCTATCTTTCGAATGTGTCATACGGTTTCTAGTGAAATTTTTGAAACCTCCGTCATTATTTCCAATAAAGTCTAGAATTAGTTTTGACTCTATGTCATGGAACTGTCCTTTACTTAAAAAACATAATTAAAGTAATGACCTGTACTATTCTTTTTCTTTTTTTTATTCTATTTTAATCAATATTTTCTTCTTCAGTAAAATAGACAAGCACTCGTACTAATAAATTAATACTACTTTATGTAAGATTCTACTTTAGATTCTTTAAAAATAATGTTATCAATTTATTTTACTCACACCATAAAATTGGTAAGTTAAATTCACTGTACATATTTTAAACCTTTCAAACTTACTGTATATATTTAGTCTGATGTGTAACTAACATCTAATGTGAAAATTGCATTGCAAAAAATACTTAGAATATTATACAGTTTTATAATTTAATTTTGAGGTCTTGTTATATTTTTATAATCAAATTTTCCATGAAAAACTTTTAAAAAAGAGAAAAGTTAAAAAGTTAAAATTTTCTTTAAGATTTATAGAATGAACCAAATATTAGGTCTCTCTGGTGTAAGAAAGTTTTCAAAAACTTTTAAAAAACTTTATAAAGTTTTTGCATGTAAAGCGTCTGGGATAACACTTTTTGAACAAAAATGAGAGAAAATGATGACGTTTTAAATTTCTCAATGTTTTAAAATTTTTTAAAATCTTACAGCTGTCGAAACATATATTTTTCCTGGTTATGTCAGAATGTTTTATTTTTGGAAAAAAAAATTTTTATCAACAATAATTTTTTTTTACAAAACTTTTCATTTAAAAATAAAATAAACAAAATGAATTCTCAAATATTTTTTTCTAAGTTTCACACTTTTATAATGTAAATTCAAAATTTGCGGTTTTTGGCATAACCAAAATATATTTGTTTATGTTTGACGTTCATCACATATTTATAAAGCTTTTAAAAGTTTTTTTCGATTTTTTTCCTTTTTGCGAGAATTTAATGGCTTCTCCTTTTAAATTTTTTTCAACTTTTATGCCAGACTAATTACGAAAAAGATGTTTTTAAACAAGAAAAATGAACCAAACATGACCCAAAAATTGGGCCAAAGTGGCAGCACTGTTTACAATTCCTTAAACGAAAATGGTGCTAATATCAGGGTAGTCGTTTGATTTTTTGAATGTGGAGGAGAAACATTCAAAAAAGGGAGAAATCTTCAAAAAAGTTGCCTGAGTTCCCATTTTTCATATCCAAAAAAACAATTTATTATCGTACGAATACAAAAAAAAAAATGGAAAAACAAAACAAAAGCTTTTAACAAAAATTATAGACATATTCATAACAATTCATATAGTCTTAATCAGACTAACAGAATAAAATACCATTCAGCTGCCGCACTACAATGTGCTAAACAGATAGTCTGAAAATTGGAATATTATCGTTAGTTTATTGAAAAAATTTTATACAAACCTATATATTTCATCTGCTGACGTCGACGAATTTTGCTAAGCTCGGGTATTTGACATTTTTACTGACTTATTGATTAACTTGACTACAAAAAGGTAGGTGGCGGCTTTTGAATTAGCAGAAAAAGGTATACGTTTTTTAACATAATTTCGTTAGCCAAGGTTTGGTCAACAACTTTTAAAATATTGCAAAAAAATTCTTTTTTCGTTTACAAATTATATTTTTCAACTGACAAATTTTTTCAAGAATAATTATCAATATTGTTTGTCTGACTGATGAAAAAACAAAATCGGAGCTAAAATGCAAAAGGAGGAGTCGCGTAGACAAATTTTCAAATCAGAGCCAAATGCGCCCGATCGGATCCAAACGGCAGTCCTGGCCAATATAGTTTTAGTGATTAGTGGCACTACAAGTTTGAAATTTTCTACTGTAATACTGTGTGTCTCTAAAAGAAAATTAATTATTTTATCGTTTATGTATAATTTTGCTAATCGCCTAATGCTTACTTTTGTCGAGACACTCTTTTAAAATAATTTCTCCACCATAAGTTCTAAATTAATGTTTTCTTTAGTATATTTGGCTTAAAATGTATTGAATATGTAAAAATATTTTAGTTTTTGCTTTTAATAAAAAAATAAACACATGGTTGAAATATCAACTTGAAAATTGAGAAATAACTTGTTCGTAAAACAATTTGTTTATTTATTTTAATGACACGAAAATAAATTTTAAATAAAAATTTTTAGGGTTCTTTTCTAACAAATAATAATGACTGTGACTATGCCTGTTAAAAACGATGGTGAAAGTGATGGCGATGTGTCTCGTTCAGAAGACTCCACACACGAATCAAGTGAAGATGAGGGAGATGTACCGGAATCTGACGACTCTTCTGAAATGGACGAAATTGAGTGTGAGCGAAGGCGAATCGATTGTTTAGATAATCTTACTAATTTAGAAAGACAATTCAATATTTTACGGGAGCAGTTATATAAAGAAAGAATCAATCAAATCGAATGGCAGTTATCAGAAGTTCGTGGCGGGCGTTCGCAAGAATATTTGCTTCCTCTTCAACAATTAGATGAAAATTTGAAAAATCGCATAGAGGTTGCAGAAATTCTAAAGCAATATCGTCTAGAAAATATTAATCACAAATATTTGTCAGAAGAACAAGCTGCAAGGCAGCACTTCGACAGTGAAAAGCAGTTAGCTATGGATCAAATTCATGAAGAGCTCATGGATAAAATAAGGCGGTTAGAAGAAGATCGCCATAATGTAGATATATCATGGGCAGATTGGGGAATAGATAAACGAGCAAATAAGGTTCGTGGTCCTGGAAGAAAGAAAGCTGTTACTGTATCAGGTCCTTATATTGTTTATATGTTACATGAAGAAGATATTTTAGAAGACTGGACGACAATTCGAAAAGCGTTACAAAGAACAAGTGGTCCATGAAGAATGAAACGAATAATTTTTTAAGCTGCTCCATATTTGTTAAATTTTGTACAAATCATTTCAATAAATGCATACATACCTACACACTATAACATTAATACTTATTTCAATATCTATTCATAGTTATTATTTTCGAGGTCACTACGTACCTACTTAATTATATAAGATTTTAATAGCTATTGTAATGAAGTGTTTTCCTCTACATTTAATACATGCGTGAAGTTTTGTATTTCTAACTAATAATGTTAATATCTTAAATCCCAAATGGTAATTACTGTTTAAGCATGTATATGTACAATCATTATAGATTTGGAAACTAAGAATTTATCTCCTGTTTGAGATCTATCACTTGAAGGTATGGAATTTTATTCAAAATTTTACAATCCAAAAAAAAAATCTTAAAGTTTAAATTTTTTTACTGAATTAAATGTATAATAAAATTTCTACGCTTTTGAGTAATGTCCCATTCTTTTATTGGTATGAAAAGAAAACTTCCTTTTATTCGGAATAAAATACTTTTTTTATTTTTTTTTTTGCTAATATATTTCGTGCGCTACATACGCACTTTATCAAAGCTGATTTTCTTAGAAGGAAGTTTTCTTTTCATACCAATAAAAGAATTACATATATTTCGGAAAAATTATCAACCATTGAAAAAAAAATTTTTTTTGAATAATGTCCCATTCTTTCAAGTGATTACTCAAAAATATAGTATGCATTTATGTACATAATTTTTGTAAAGAAAAGTTGTGAAAAACAAAAATTGATTTGCACTTTTATATTTTGCTATATTATTTATTTATGTAATTGTTTCCCGCTTTAAATTTTGAATACATCGAACAAGATTTAGGCATGTCTGATCCAGAATGGACCATTTACTGATTTACGTCTAGACCCAGAGGGTGTTAGGTATTTCTACTAAAGTATCTGCGAAGAACGCGGTTGTGCAGAGCAGTCGCCAGTGGAGAAAAAGAACACTTAGCAAAATTGATAAACCCGTTTAGCAAGAGCTCAAGGCTTGCAAGGTTCCTAGGCGGGAAACAATAGAGACTTATAAAGAAAGAGAGTCAATAAAGCCAAAGAAGAAGACAACAAAAGTCTAACATTATTTAAAAATAAATTTTAAAAATAAAAGTGAATTTAGACAATTAAGTAAAGCTGTTAATAAAGCCAAATTAGAATGTCATACTTATGAAAAAAAATTACAAAGCCCATTAAAATAATGGTCAGAAACCTATAAACACCATGTGAACAACAGGATATTAAGTGTGAACTTATCGAAATGTAATTCAAATGTGTGGATGTAGTAATTTAAATAAAAAAATAAAAGGAAATAACGTAGCTTAATAAAGTTTTACAATATTTTTAAAAATTTTCTTAATTCAGACAGACCAATTTTCTCATTAAAGTTAGTACGATAGCAGAATGATCAAATTAAAGTCATCATACAAAGTCAAAAAATTTGACGAAATTCCTTTAGATATAAAAAAGTCAATAAGATCTGGCATTTTGTAGGCATCAGTAGTGTATGTATATCTCATTAACTTTTCAGGTTCCTGCAATATTTTTAATCTAATCGATGCACATTTTGAATAAATATATATGTATGTATGTACCTAATTTAAATGAAAAAACAATATATGTACATATTAAATAATTGAAAAAGGGGGGTGTCAATAATTGATTGAATTTTTGGTGAATTCCTGTTGACGAAGGGTGTCAATAGCTATGTATATACATACTATGACGGTACAATTATTGACACCAACTAAAAATGCACATTTTGCAAATTTTTTAAGAAGAAGTAACAAAGGGATTAGGTACTAAGAAACTGTGCTTTAGTAAGGTAAAATATTTATAATAATTGTTAACTTATGATACGTTACTTATGATACGTTACAGCCGATATTTGAGACCATATACATATACATATGTATGTGTTCTCAAATGAATACCTGAATACATTTTCGTTTTTGTTAAACTTTTCCAACATTTTACTCTTACGTAACACAGCTTTGCAAGAATTTACGCAATAATTACGTTTATACATTGTAGGTAACCATATTATTTAGTAATTAAGTAGTATGTAAACATACTTGACGGTGCTTGTTCCAATAACGGTAATAACATAGCACCTGTTGGGTCAGTGCATTGAAAATACACTTTTCTTTTTCTATTGACATGATTTTTTTTTTTTTCCATCTCCACCCACTCTCAAGTTATCGCCTCTCGAAATTTAAAATATATTTTCTTTAAATAACTTTGAAATAAAATTTTCCTTAATGATCGATTTCGGACTCTAATTTACTAAATAAGTTCAATTTAATGAGCTAAAATTGTAATGTGAAATATGATAATACTATAAATTAAGCAGAAATTAATTTTTGTAATGCAGTTTTTGTTTTACAATAATTAGGTCGAGAGATTCATAAATAATACCTCATTTTTATATTTGTTAGACATTTCTCAGAAGTTTAATGTTATTTTACACCAACCTTTTAATAATAGAAGAATATGTACTAACAATTCTCAGATTTCGAGTGTCTTTTTAGTGGCCTATGTATATAACACTCTAAAAATGTAACACGTCTAATTATGTAAACCTGCAATGCAATTAGTAGCTCACAGAAGGAGTTACGCATATTGATGATGGTGTAACATTTTTAAGATGAAAATGAATGTCAAAACATCCAAATTTAAACTATGGATATACAAAAATATCTTACTTCAGAATGCGCCAAATTTTTCTAAATACAAAATTTGTTTTCTAAATACAAAATTTCTAAATTTAATTTTCTTTATAAACTTCGACTACTTGTAATTTTCAATTAAAACTTTTAAATTTTTTTGAATGTTAACTTAAGCAATAATTGAGCCAAATTTTCAGATATACTCGTTTTCGAGCTACGGCCTATTAAAAACAAAAAAATACTAGATTTTTCCTGCGTATATTTAAATGCTCATAACTTCAGAACATTTCAATATAGAGTATTTAATAATATTCTTTATTTTAGGTTTTACAAGTTATTCAATTTGAGCAATAATTTTAGAGATAAAGTTCTTCAAAGTCCGATTTTTTTTTTAAATTGCTTTTAAAAATTGGAAATTTTGTTATAAATATTTTTTTATGCGTTATGAAAACTGCTAAAAATTAAACCATACAAATTTCTTCTACCACTCATAGTTTTGCCAGTAAAACGTGTTAAATGTGCTTAAAAGCATGCGAAAATGCATATTACATATATTTAAAACAAGCTCCCGATGGTTATTCTATGTCGCACGGTTTTAAAGCTATAACCATTTATTTGTATACAAAAAAAACTTGTGTCTTTTGAAATAAAATATATAGAGTGAACTATTTCAATAACAGGGCCACTATTCAAAAAAAGTAGGTGACATGAATTTAGTAGTTGATAATTGCAGCACTTAAAATCAATAAAAATTGAAAATAGTGACAAATTTTTGATTTTTTAGATTTTATTAGGGCCCTTAAAATCTTGACATAGAAATGATTTTTTTCTTCTATCTCCTATACCATACAAGACTTAATGACTTAAATTATCCGATTGAAGAAAAATAAAAAAATAAAAGAAGGGAAATTAGATTTTTTTACAAAGTTCGAAGGCCAGGTATTTCAAAAGTTCATAAAATACAAAGTAAAGTAATATGTTGCTTTGAAACCCTATACTAGCCCTTTCAAAAATTGCTTATTTGAAGCTTGTATCTTTTTTAAAAAGGAAGTTATAAGCAAAAAAACTTGAGCAAATAGAAATAAATGCTTTTAATTGGTCATTTCTCTTATAATATACGAAAATAAAAATAAAAAAATATTAAGCAAACGAAAAGGACCTACTTTCTCAAAAGCTTTTTTCAAACTAAAAAATAATATCAATAGGAAATAAATTGAGGAAAAACATACAAAAAAAAAATTAAGAAAAATTTTCTAATGCGGCCTTATATTTGATTGCAAGGCAGTGATCAAATTTTAAATATTCCCTAGCAAACCTCAATCAAAACGAAATATTGATAAATTTGTATGAAATTTTTGTTTTTCCAAAATTAAAATTTTTTATTACATTTCTTAATGGATAAAATAAAAAACAACAGTTTTAATAAAACTTTAACAATTTTGGAGGAAAAAATATTATTACTTTTTGGTTTACGCTGGCAATAACTCTTTATGTTGCAATATACGAGTATAAATCATATTCTATGCTGGCTTTGAACATTTCCTCTGCTACTCTCTGTTCATATAGTATAATATGTCCATGGGAAACATAAATTTGTATTTGTGTAAACTATAACACATCCTTATTTTGAGATGATTTAGATGTCACAGACTTTTTTAAAACAGCATAATAAATTAAAGGATTTATAGTTTATATTTTAAAAACTATTTACATAAAAGTTTATTTGTTTGCTAATAAAACACAATAAACAATTTTCAATCAGATTTTTTTATTTGAAGTTTTAATAGTTAAGTAAATTAATACTTTCCAGTATTATTTCACAATTATAAAAAATTTTGACGAGGAATATATGTATTTATGTATATTTAAACAAAAACTTGATAGAATATATTGAAATTTTAAGTCTAAACAAAGTGAACTATATGTACATTAATAAAATTATATACATATAATAATATCTTAATATACATGTATATTGATTTATAAATATTTTAATACTTTTTCAATAATATTTGTATGTATTTATATGCATATATTTAATTTAAATAAAAATTCATAGTGTATGTAAATAATTTTTGAATAATTTTTTACAGCACTATTTTAGCTACATGAATATAATGGTTAACCGTAATTTTAAGTGATATGGAAAAAGTACATACTTATATGTATATATACATATGATATTCGTACCATATACATACATATGCATTTATCTTTCACATATATTTTGTATAAATATTTCACAAACATGTACAAAATTATTTTTATTTTTCGATGTTATAATTATGAGCTATGAGAGTTGTATTATTTTATATTTTATTAATTAGATGTGCGCACATCTAAATTTCAAATTATAAACTCATTACAAATACAAAATATATTATAAAAAATAATTACTCCAC